ATTTAAATTTTTACTTTTTATAAATTTTTTTTACTTACTTTTATTATTTTTAAAAATAACTTTTAAATTGTTTCTTTAATAAAAATTTAAATTAATTATTCATAATCAGTATTATAAAAAACTAAAAGCTCCAAAAAAAACTCCACCAAGCAGGTAGTACACAGAACTGGTATTATATTATCCACGGCTATGCAGAATTAAGAGAGGTTACAGATCTGTCCTAGCTAGTACTTGGCGGTATTAACAAAACCAACAAAAGAGAACAACAAATTTTACCCGTTGATATACCCTCTGAAGACTGGCCTCTTTCTTAATCCAGACATTTAAAGATATCAGCTTGTTGTTTCCATAACATGAAATGAACGAACCCATCTTCTCCCACTCTCAAACTCCCTGAAGTAAACCATCATCTCCCACTCCAGTCTCCATATATATATATGCTTGGGTTGCAATATGAATTATAATATTCAGGACATTCAGCATTAAAAAATTTCAACTTTCACTATGTAACTTTCATTAAAAAAAAAAAAAAAAACCCTTCAAAACCCAGAAGCCAACTTAAAAAATAAATAAATAATGCTGATAAAAATAAATAAAAAAAGATAACAAAAATCAACCTATCCACCAAAGAAAACTGAAACAAAATGAGGCAGCTAATATATATATATATATATAAGAGAAAACTATTTTACATACAGTTCATCCTGTAAAATTATTTAAATATCTTTAAATTTGTTTTTATATTATTTTTTTAAAAACATTTAATTAATTTTATAAGACAGATTGTACAGCCCTTTAAAATGGTTTTAAGTATATATATAATGTAATTTTTCTCTTTGGATGATAAGAAAGGGCAAGAAAAGAATGGACAAATGAAAATTCCAGCAACCATGTAAGAATCAAAATAGCATTAAAATGAAGAGGCATTATGATAATACCAAAAGAGAAGGGGAGTACACTTTCAAAGTAACCCAGGCCACTTGACCCAAAAAGTCAAGTGCTTTATGATAATACCAATAATCAAATAAGATAATGGGAGAGACCTCTCGCCCCCCTCCCCCACATTGCTACAGTATTTTTCAATTCTCCACTTTTGTCCTCTAAGTTTCCTCACTCTATTTCACAAGTCAGGAGTGGTTTTTTTTGTCATTTGATACTGAATTTCCACTTTTGCCCTCACAACTTTGTTACTTCATTTCACCTGTTGTGGGGGGCATGCCTGTCATTTCGTGACCTCTTCCCATTGTGCCCTTCTATCTCCGCTTCTCCATGTCACATATGGGGTGGTTTTTGGGTCATTTCAACACACAAAGGCAGGATATTCTTTTTCGGTCCTGTGTTTTTGCCAGTGGGATTTCCATTTTCGTGTTTGATTCAGTCTTCTAAGACTGGTCTTTGTTCGTCGATTTTGATTAAAGAGGAAAATCGCCTTCTGGGTTTTGGCTGGATTTCGAGATCTGAGCACCTGAATGGCAATACTCCTTATGGTTTTGCATTTGGCCACCATTGTGAAACCTTGGGGAGTGTTGCTTTTCTTTTGGTGCTCATTGCTTGGTCCATTTCTGCGCTTTGAGTGGATCCTAATGTCTACTAGGTACATATTTTTAGCTTTTTATTTTGAATTCTTTCTCTTGTGCATGATTTAATTTTTAGTTGATGTTGAGTTGAGTGTTTGCTTTAAATCCTTTCTTCTGATCTTTCAGCTTCAGGTAGTTCTCCATTTCCCAGATTGTTCTCCTGTAATTTATTTCGTATGGACTTGGCTTGTGGATTTGATAGTGTCGGCAAGAACAAGTTATTAAATTTAATGGTTTGTTTGACACAAAGGCTATGAAATTTATGGGTTTGTTTGACACAAATTTCTCCAACATGGGGAGAGGAACTGTTCATTTTGTGAGAGACTAAGAGGTTGATAGGGAAGGTGAGGTCTTGATCTTTCTTATTTTCTTTCTCCTCTGTTTCTTTCCTTTGTCCTGCTTATTGATAACTTTCGGGATTTTCTTCTTACTTTTTCCTTCTTGCTTAATTTCAGTCGGATCAGGAATTAATAATATTATGAACCAGCAATGATGTTAGTCGACAAATCAAGAGAGATAAAAGGTAGAAACTTCTGAATCCATTTTCCCAGGTTAGCCAACAACTGATTTTGGTCTGAAGTTAACAAAAAGTAAAGCTATTGTTGTGTTCTTCACACTTTTCTAATGCACTTCCTCGCCATCCCTTGCCAGGGTAGGTTGTTAGCTTTCTCATTCAAGGCTTATTTTTGTCCTGTTGAACTAGGATCTACACTCCCATTCCATTTTAGGAAGCATTTTATAAAGTTTATGTATTTTTTACTCATGAAACTAAGTATTTGGCTAGCATTTATCAAGAGACTGTATGTTCTCTTATATGCGTAGAATATGTTTCATGTATTATTTTTTGTTTGATTTGCTTGATTTTCTGTTTGAATGGTGGGTTGTGTTCCATTTTATTTTTGGATAGCTCCAGGTTTTTAAAATTAAAATAGTCATTCTTCTTCATTAGGCGGGTTGTGTTCCTTTTTATTTTTGGATAGCTCCTGGTTTTTAAAATTAAAATTGTCATTCTTCTCCATTAGGCAGAGGAACACCTGGAGATAATGGGGTAAATAGCAATGAAAGAGGAAAAAAGCAATGGGTTATGGCCCAATGGAAAATTCAAATTAGGAGGATGAGGGTAGTGGACCTGGAAGATGATAATGGTTGCTTTAGATGCATGGTTACTTTGTTTTTTATTTTATTTTATTTTATTTTTGTATTCATTTCCATTTTTCCTTTCAACAATTATTTGTTTATTTTAGTTCTACTTTTTTGCTGGTCGCATTTGCGGAGATTTGAGAATCTTTTTTTTTTTTTACCGTCTCATTTCTTTTGCTAATTATCTCACAACTTTTTACAAGAAGATCGCCTTTTTTTTAACCTTTTCTTTGAGATATTTTGAAAATTGTACCTGTTTTCTTGCCAGATGTAGGTGTTCTGGGTTTTTATCTTGCTTTTATGATTGTTTATTTTGTACGTTTTTTTCTAACTTTTATTATCAAGTTGTGCTACTCTGATTTTTTAGTTTCATTCTTTTATGAGTTTGGCCTTGCTTCTCTATTTATTGTTTGACATAAAATGCATTTTAGGGATGTGTTTTCATTTGTAGTTGTCTTCATTGCTGGTCTAGAGATTGAACCATTAACTACTTTCTCTCATCCAAAGATTTTTCCAATTGTAGGTCCTACTGATTTCATTTGGAGCTATCTGTGTTGCTGTTATCTGAGATTGTTCATTTTCATGCTTTTGATTAATCATTTTCTGGGATTTGATCTTGAGTTCATGATTGTTTTGAATTTTATTTTTGGAGGGTGACATTATAAATATTGATTATGTTGTACAAATTGTTTTGGGGCTAGAATTTCAGTAAGAACATAGATAGGAAACTCTAATAGACATGCAGGAGGTTGGTTTGGCTTCTCTGGAATGATAGATGTGCATTTTCTATATGTGCAATGCGTGTAAGAGTGGTTTGTGTTCATAAAACTATAATTTTTTTGCAATTTGTGGTTGTTTTTAGTAAAAAATTGACAGATATGGCTTTTAATGTAGCTTATTAGCTTCATGCAGCAGGTTCATAGAATCTTTTTTACAATTTATGTTTGTCAATTGCAATGCATCTGATTGATTGAATCTACTTGTCCTTTTCTTTTCAGGCTGTGTTCTGTGTTCGGTTTGTTTGGATGACCTGCCAGAAAACTTGAATTCTGACGTCAAATATGTTATCAGGAGAATAGAGGTATCTTGTGCTTTAAACCTCAAAATTGTTTACCATATGGTTGTTTAAAAAGAAATATCAGTCACACCTCAAATTGATAACAAAAAGAGTAAGGAAGATTTAGGAGGGTTTTGATTTATTAGTACTTATTAGCTACTTGTGAGGAATATGTTTATAATTTAGTTGGGTATGGGAATTTCATTTTCAATCATCTTGAATTCCTTCTATTTTGTCTCTTAATCTTTCACATGACTCAAGGAGAGTATTTATATTCATCTTTACTTTCAACACCTCTCCCCTATCTTTGTCTTTTAAGGATTGTCAACTTTCAACTTTCAACTTTTTTCAGTTAAAAAGTACATTTGTCATGATAGCATCACTGTCCAATTAATCTTTAAATATTGAGTATCATCATTCACGTTCAATTTGAGAACTCCAATTCTTATTTCTACCTTTGTATTTCTCAACATGGTGAGATGTCCTTTCTGCAAAACCTCAAACTATGCTGTAGAATATCGAGGCATGAAAACCACTTTTTAGAAGATCACCATAAAAATCACTTTTTTTGGGTTTCAAGTAATGGGATTTGGGATGAAGGATGTCTTTTTTGAAGTGGCTTTGGTTCTGATCTTCAATATTTTAGGACTGATTTACTGTCTCATTATCTTTTTGCAGCAACAAGCTGATTTGGGCTGAACAATGTCTTTTTTGAAGTGGTTTTGGTTGTGATCTTCACTACTTTAGGACTGATTCACTGTTTTATCATCTCTTTGGTGTGACAAGTTGTTGAACTTTCTATAGTTTTTTATGATGTATTTACGTTGCAATCTGAATTTGCATGGCAAATCAATGCAACTACTAGGTTGTTTAATTTGAAAATTGAAATATGCTTCTCTGTTGCTGCTGGGCAATTTCTCCCTTTCTTTCCTTTTGGTCTTTGCTTTCTTAATTTTAAGGTTCCTTTGTATAGCTGTACCGATCGTTTGTTATAATTGTTTCTTTTCTTTCATTTGATAATTTTCGATGTTTAGGACAAGTAGAATGATTTGCCCACCCCTTAGGACAACTTTTGAACTTGGAAGTAAGAAGAAAATATCATACATTGATGGCCCAAATGCATTAAAATGGTGTGCCTTCAGGTTGTAGCTTCAAAGAGGGAAACAAGATAAAATTTTAATTAAAATAAGTTCCATGTTTAGGACATTTCAAAAATTTTTATTTTTGTGAAAGTATGGTTATTTTCTAATAATAACAACTGGTATTTTTGACTCATAATTTAGATTTTCACATTGTTATATTCATTACCCTATAAAATCTTAATAATTGTAACATGTTCAAACTTGAGTCATTACAAAGATGTGCCAAATACTTCAC